CCTTTCACCTTAAGAACAGAGAAGCATCCCGAGCTCTGAGGATCACCTGGGAAGGAATCCCACTGGAGCATTGCAGCGCACCCAAATACCTGGGAGTCACTCTGGACCGTGCTCTGACCTACAAGAACATCACTGAACATCAAGCAGAAAGAAGCACTGCCTGAATATCAAGCAAAGCTGACTGGCACAACCTGGGGATCACAACCAGACACAGTGAAGACATCTGCCCTTGCGCTATGCTACTCTGCTGCTGAGTATGCATGCCCAGTGTGGAACACATCTCACCACACTAAAACAGTAGATGTGGCTCTTAATGAAGCATGCTGCATTATCACAGGGTGTCTGCGCCCCACACCACTGGAGAAATTACACTGCTTAGCCGGTATTGCACCACCTGACATCCGCCGGGAAGTTGCAGCCAATAGTGAAAGGACCAAGGCAGAGACATCTCCAGCTCATCCCTTGTTTGGGTATCAGCCAGCACGTCAACGACTCAAATCAAGAAATAGTTTTCTTAGATCTACAGAGACACTCGCTGGAACACCTCAGCAAGCGAGAGTTCAAAAGTGGCAGGCTCAAACCCAGCACCTCAATCCGTGGGTGATACCAGATGAGAGACTCCCCCCTGGGCACACAGAAGACTGGGCGACTTGGAAGGCGCTGAACAGACTGCACTCTGGCACCACGAGATGCAGAGCCAATCTTAAGAAATAGGGTTACAAAGTGGAATCCACGACATGCGAGTGCGGAGAAGAGCAAACCACTGACCATCTGCTGCAATGCAACCTGAGCCCTGCCACACGCACGATGGAGGACCTTCTTGCAGCAACACCAGAGGCACTCCAAGTGGCCAGATACTGGTCAAAGGACATTTAATCAGCTACCAAGTTTGCAAAATTTGGCGTTTGTTTTTATCTGTTTGTTTGTTTTGCTCTGTTAGAAATGTTCTGGTTGCGGATGACACGATAAATAAATAAATAAGCTTTGTACACAATAAACTTGTTATCTTTTGTTGAAAACCGTCTCATCTCAACTAATCTGCGTCTGTAGAGCCAGATCTCATCGGTGGTACCTCAAATACCTCACGTTGGTGGCAGTTACCTTAATTTACAAATAATAATTGGCCTCCTCCAAAATATACTCTTCTACACAATTGAGGCCTGAGGTAAATTCCCTCCATAACATCCACATCTGTACAATGTGGTGGCAGCGGTGAGATTAAAAAGTGCTTGAGGTAAAATACCTCCATTATTAGGGCCTGCCGTTGCCAACCTCAGCAACACACAAGCACCTCCTCGCAATTGGTGATAGCGGTGGGGATCTTCAAAGGAAGATCCCTATACCCTGTCCCTATACCCTGTCCATCACACCAAAGATAAAAAGAAAATGTGTACAAAATTATATGGAAATGGTTTACCACACTAGTTAAACAACATCAGATGAATAGCAAGCAAAGCAACCTCTGCTGGAGGTGTGGCATGCACAAAGGGACATATTTTCATGTATGGTGGGAATGCCCCCAAGTGAAGAGTTTTTGGAATATATATTTATCGAAATAGGTTTGTTTGTTTTTGTCGTGACAGGAGCAAGTCGCGTCTGGTGTGAGAGAATTGGCCATCTGCAAGGACGTTGCCCAGGGGATGACTGGATGATTTTATGTTTTTATCATGCTTGTGGGAGGCTTCTCTCATGTCCCCGCATGAGGAGCTGGAGCTGATAAAGGGAGCTCATCCACCTCTCCCTGGATTCAAACCTGCGACCTGTTGGTCTTCAGTCGTGCCGGCACAGGGGTTTAACCCACTGCGCCACCGGGGGCTCCATATCGAAATAGGTAATATTATAGGACTAAATATTACACCGGATGCTAGGTTAAGATTACTAATGGATTCCACAAAGTTGAATTTGGAAATGGAAAAGAAAGAATTGGTTAATGGTTGATTTATAAATATATGGCAAAGGAAAGGATACTTGGTGGTGGGGCTATGTGTTTTTCTTACACTGTAGGTTGCTAATGTATGTAAATTTTAAAAAAACTACAAAACTTTAAAAAATGAAAGGACTCCTAACAAATGGCTATCCAATTTCTGTTTAGAAACCTCAAGAGAAGAAGACTCTGCCACACTCCAAAAAAGTATATTCCACTGTTAAATAACTCTTACCTTCAGGAGGTTCCCTCTAGTGTTTGAGGGAATTTGAATTCATTGCTCCATGTCCTAATATCTAGAGCAGCAGAAAACAACCTTGCATCTCAATGTGACATCCTTTCTAATATTTAAACACACCTGTCATGACCCTCTTATTGTAGCTTCCCCAGGTTAAATATACACCTAAGTTGCCCCTCGCCAGGCTTAGCTTTCAGACCATTTTATCTAAAATGCTGCATTGTCTCTAATGCAAATTCTTGAGAGTAATTCATCTGGTCTTGGACACTTGAAGTTATTTAGATTAACCAGACATTCCTCTACTGTCTCTTGACCCATTCAATAATATATTCCCCCTATTGCATCATCGGATCAATTATGCCCAGGTTTAGTACTTTTAACCTTTTGGGAGAGGAGTGCGGTAAAGAAGGTGCTGAGTAGAATCATAGAATCATAGAATCAAAGAGTTGGAAGAGACCTCATGGGCCATCCAGTCCAACCCCCTGCCAAGAAGCAGGAATATTGCATTCAAATCATCCCTTGACAGATGGCCATCCAGTCTCTGTTTAAAAGCTTCCAAAGAAGGAGCTTTCACCACACTCCAGGGCAGAGAGTTCCACTGCTGAACGGCTCTCACAGTCAGGAAGTTCTTCCTCATGTTCAGATGGAATCTCCTTTCTTGTAGCTTGAAACCATTGTTCTGCGTCCTAGTCTCCTAGTCTCCAGTAGTTCTCCCTTTTCTCTGTCCACTGTTAACAGTTCACCAGAACCTGTATATGGTGGCACTATCATTTCTTTGTTCTTCCTTATTCTATACACATAACCAAAAAAGCCCTTTCCATAGAGGAACATGGCCATTCCTGCCTAAAAACTCATCACTTCCACATTATTTACAAGATCATCACTGTACATTAGGATCAGATCTAAAATAGCTGATCCCCTTGTTGCCCTTTCCATCTTCTGGATTATGAAATTGTCTGCAAGGAAGGTGAAGAATTTTTGAACCTGATATTCTTGACAGAATTTGTCTTTCAACAAATATCCAAATTGTTAAAATCTCATATTATTATTACACCTCCCCTTTCTGTTCCAGTAAGGCACCAGTTTGGCTGAGACCTGTAGTAGACATTCACAATGACATCCAAGTAATTCCTTTCCCCCTAAATGTTTACCCTGGTGGTCTTAACTTGGCTTCCAGCGTTTATGTAATGGATATCTTCATCTCTTTAAACATCCATGACATAAAGTGTTACACCTCTGCCATTCCTGTGTGGTCTATTTCTACATTACAGTCATGAGGTTCATCCTATTAGGTTTCCACCCTCTCAAGTAATCCATCAAATGCAAGTTACAAGAGAAGAGTTTCTGCCTAAACATTGGGAATAACATATTAATTGTAAAAGCTTCTCAGGAGTGGAACAGGAGGGTGGTGAACTCTCCATCATTTGAGGTCAACTAACAGAGGCTGGTATCTTTCAGCTTCATTCCCAACAGCAGGCAATCACAGTACTTTGTTCTTTATAGGTCAGATCTTATTCCAAAAACTTCCCGAAATACTCGCCCATACATAAGCTAATTACTTGTTATCATGTGTCTTCAAATCAATTGGGCATACGGTAACCCTGAGGCTAACATTGGGTTGCCTTTGCTTTCCTCTGATACTGAGAGTCTGTGAACTGTTTGAGGTCTTCCAGTACTTTTACCTGTACTAAATCCCAGAAATTCTTTTCTAGCGACAAAATTTCCATCCTTGTCCAAAAAATGGTTGGGATTAAATTTGTGTGGAGTTTCCCAGTACTCATCATCAAGAAGAACAGAGAGTATATTAGGTATAATGATTGTCCCCTGAAAGAAAGAAACAGTTAGCAGACAAGTAAACACATACACACATCTCTCCCTTCGAACTGAGATTCAGTGGAAATAGTCTGCCTGAGAGCCTATCATAGCCTAACCATGTATTTTGCAGTTGCTGAGATGTTTCCATACTGCAAATCTACACTCACCTAATTATGGTTGTGTTACATCATTCATCTAACTCAGTGTTTCCCAATCTTTGGTCCTCCAGTTGTTTTGGACTTCAACCCCCAGAAATCTCAGCCAGTCTACCCTGAGTCTCTCCAGGGAGATGAGGTGGAATATAAATAAGTTTTATTATTAATTGTGGAAGCTGAAGTCCAAAACATCAAAGGTTGTGGAGGGCTCTAGCAGAGATTGACTCTTCCGGTATTTGGACCAATCTTGGAAGGTGTTAATCTGACCTCTTCCTTAAGGAAAGCATCACAGGCTCCTGTGATTATCTGTACAGACTTGCTGAAATGAGCAGTAGCTGAGATCTCATGATAATGGTGTCTGGAAAAGAATAGCTCTTTGGCAGCAGATAATGATGCACCTTTTGTACCCTAGTCCTGGATCTTGACTCTACTGCCCCTGGGTAGAATAATGAACTCTGACCTTGGCTCCCGTAATCCTGATCCAGACCTGAATCCTTGACTCTGAATTTTGACTTCCTGGTTTGATTTGTGGACTTGATTTGTGGACTTAGACTTCCATTTGTATCCCTGACTTCAGAACTCTCACTTTGGTTTGTACTCTTGACTTTTAGTCATGCTTTATGAACTCTGATAGGTAATGTCCTGGCTTCTAACTATTGGGCTGTAACCTTGGCTACTGTTTGTTCTTGCACCTGACCTAGTTCTACAGTACTCGGCTTGTCTGCATTACTTGGACTCTTGACCTTGACTTGTGTTTATTGTTACTTCAGCTGTGTACTGCAATTCTGATATTTTGGGAAAACCTTGAAAGACTTTAATTTTCTTTATAATATAGTCTTGGCGTACCTTGCTTTGGCTTAAAAAGACCTTAGCCTTGATACAGGGAGTTTCCCGGAACAAGGTATGGACAAATAGTTATGAACCATCCAAGAATGTCCAAAACATGGTCAACATTCTTCTTGATTAGTTGTAACTAGAATAGAACCATTCGGCCAATTATTGGATGACAAGTTAACATGCAGATAAATCCAGAGGATTTAATGAGAAAGCAAGTATGACTAAGATGTCTTAGATATCACAACATGAATGTACAGGACATGGGAAATAAGCTTTCACATGGCAAGGCAGATATGCTATGATAGCCAAACTTGAAACCACATAAAAAGTCAAATACAAGCTTCCTCTGAATAAATCTAAGCAGGAAAACCCCATGATGTGTTCACCTTAGGGTCCCCATAATTGGGAAACAACTTGAAGGCTCACATCAGTCATTGAGTCTTTCTGGAAAGATTTGTTTAGAGGAGATTTGCCTTTTCTTCTTCTGCGTGAAACTTGCCAAAGTCACCCAATGGATTTCCATGGTCAATTGGTGATTTGAATCCTGGCCTCCAGAATCACATTCCAACACTATTATCCTGTGCTAGCTCTCTCTGTGTGGATACATCTCTCAAAATGACATCCTTCAAACATCTTTGTTCTTGGGATACAGAATGCAGCTAAAACTTCCATCTGTACCTTTGGGATGATGTAACCTCTCATGTGGACATCTCTGGTAGTTTGCCTTGGAATTCCTATTATCGAGGGAAATCTGTAACGCTGGATTTCATGAATCACTGCATGAGTATAAGGCAGTCTTTTGTGGTCATCATAGCAGATATTAGAGGAGCCCACAACATCTTCTATCTCCTTGATGATTTTATCTGAGGAAATATATGGAAATGGATGAAAGCTATATTTCAGATATTCAAAAATTGAATAATTGCTTAATTGCTGAAATATTTATTATTATTATTATTATTATTATTATTATTATTATTATTATTATTAAACCCACGAGTCGATCACAATGAATTTAGTATATTTACGTTCAAAAATTTTCCTCAAAAGAGTTCACGGCCCTATGTGAATCTGAACTTTTATACATCTCTTTAACTGATGAGAATTTTTTTAAAACTGTGTCCTAACACTGAAACCGTTTCATGAAGTGCAGAGTGGGGAGGGGAAAGGGGACAGGGGAGAGTCTCTGGCAGTTCCCCAGGACATGCCCCCTTCCATCCATTGGGACTGGGGAGTGCGGTAGGAAGGGAAGCACAGAGTTGAGAGATACCCTCAAAGGGCACCCAATCTAACCCCCTTCAGACAGGAAGGAAGGCATAGTCAAAGCATCTCTGGATGGCCATTCAGGCTCTGTTTAGAAACCTCCAAAGAAGTTGAATCATTGCAGAAGTGGAGTGCTGATGCTGTTCAAGGGAAGGCACTGCTGTAATGGAGCCCCTGGTGCGCAATGGGTTAAACCCTTGTACTGGCTGGACTTCTGACCAATAGATCAATGGTTCAAATTTGGGGAGAGCGGGTTGAGCTCCCTCTGTCAGCTCCAGCTCCCCATGCAGGGACATGAGAGAAACATCCCACAAGGATGGTAAAAGATCAAAACATCCAAGCATCCCCTGGGCAACATCCTGGCAGGTGGCCAATTCTCTGACACCAGAAGCAACTTGTAGTTTCTCAACTGAAGAAGAGCCAAGGGCTGCAAAAAGAGCATCAATGAGCCACAGACTGCATTCTTCATATTCGGATTCAGAAAAAGAGGTTCATCCCGCAAACCCTAACAACTCAAATGAATTCTGGAGAGAGCCTGGAGATCCGTGAAATGGTGAGACCCTCTAGCCCTGAAACTGAGGGGAAGGGAGGCATGGGAAGCCCTCCCATGTTGGCCAATGAGACAAAAGATTTTGTTCACTCAGACAAAAGAACAAAACAGCTCATTCAGAAAGGCCTCCTTTTTGGAAGCAACACTCAAAAATGAAAACGGGGCCATATAAATGAAACAAACAGAAACGGATAGCAATTCTATACAAAAGCACAAGCCTACACAGAGCGGCTATAGAGGACTACATAAGAATCAACTGTAGTACATAAGAAGTGTGCAGGAAGAATGTCCAAATTTCATTTATACAGTAAAGATTATATGAACCATATGCTTATTTGTATCAAACATGAAACGTTTGGAAAGCTCTGCCCTAGAATGACAGCGGTGAACCTACTCATGCCTACTGAGACTTGGTCCAAAGCCAGTTTGCTGCAACCATTTCCATTTAGATTGTATTGCTTTTGCAGAAATCAATTGGGATATCCTTGAGAGATTTACTGAGACATGTGTAACAGTACTCTTACTTGACAGAAGACATTTTGGGTTTGAATAAAGTCCTTTTCCCCTGCTGAATATGTCCTGAATATGTTTGACAGGTCATGCAAATGGGGACATTTCATGTATCCCTTCCCATATAAGGATTGTATGGACCCCATGACAGTGATATAAAAAAGGTCCTGTGTGTGCAGCTAGCCACCATAACCTGATAGAAAAGGGTTGTGTCAAACTTTGTAGATACTTTTGTGCTAATTGCTCCTGATATGTTAACATACTTTTTTTTACAGCATAATAGGTTTCATTTAGTACATGCTCCTGGGCAGAAGTCATTTATACTATGTATATGTTTAACTGTTAGAATATATTCGTGTTGGTAACAGTATCTGAAACTAGAGTTAACTGGTTGTATCCACAGTGAGGTTGCCAAGGAGACCAGGCAGGAGAGTGAGAAGTGGGCGGAGCCAAGTAGAAAATGTTTTGTGCGTCTTTGGAAAAGAGGCAGTCTGAGTTGGCAGTTGAGAGTGGAGAGTGGAGAGAAGTGTGTGTGAATAGCTGAAGGTTTTTCAGTCTAGGAAGGCTGAAGGGAGAAACCTAGCCAGTTTCTTAGTCAGAGAAGACTAAGGGAAGCTTGTTAAGATCACTAGTCGAGAAAGGACTAGAGATCAGGGATTTGATCAAGAAAAGATCAAATTGGAAGCTTATTCACATTAGGAAACATTGTTTATTAAAGTGCTTCACCTCAATAAAAGTTAATCAAGAGTTGTGTCATCTAGAAGAGTGGACTGTATTGCAAACCAAGTGTTATTCAAAGTTCTATAAGTTATTCAAAGTTATTTAACAGCCTGCAACCATATGCTTTGTACATAATAAACTTGTTAACTTTTGTTGAAGACCATCTCATCTCCATTAATCTGCGTCTGTGGAGCCAGATCTCATCCGTGGTACCTCCAGTACCTCACGTTGGTGGCAGTTACCTTAATTTGCAAGTAATAATTGGCCTCCCCTATAATAAATTCTTATACTCAATTGAGACCTGAGATTGATTATATCCATAATCATCCACACCTGTACAATTGGTGACAGCGAGTGGGATCTTTAAAGTCAAAAAACCCTATACCCTGTCTATTGTTGGAATTGCAATCTTTACAGCTCCTTTTTTCTATATCCACTGGGATAAACATATCCATTCTTCACCTTTGATATCTCCTGCATTCTTCCTTTTTGGTAACTTTTCCCAACTTTGAGGCAAATGCTTCCTTTTTGCCATTATCCACATACTTTCTGCAGAAAGTTCTCTTAACCTAATTTCAGTAAACCTTTGCTATCAAATGTTATTTTTTATTCATTCATCAGCCATTCCTTCTCTGTTTGTCCACAAAATTTTTATTTGTTCAACTAATCACAATCAGCTTTCTCCTTCATTTAACACATATCCTTTGATAGTTACAACATTTCTATTAAAAATACTGTTGGCACAACCTGGATCAGAAGTAGCCCCTTCTTTGTGTTGTACAATGACTTTTTTTACCTTGGACATCTGGACGGTTTGCCAAAATGATGATTGCCCATTGTATAATTGAACTGGAATTTGCCAATCCACCGAAATAGATGTCATGAATAGAGTGCATCAGGTTCTCTTCATCCACAGTAGAGGTGGGATCATTCTTATTCTTCTCCTGAAAATATAAAATGTGAAGTAGAATTTCTGACTGATCGGAAAGCCACTCCTCAATGCTGCCTTTCCTCTTGTATATGTGTGCACGTCTTGAAGTTGGATGTCACCTGTTGACGTATAATAACCCCATTTAAAGATGGAGAGAAAGAAGATCCAGTACTTACTTTCTCCATTTCACGCAGGTAGTAATCAATGAAATCCCGTGGCTCCTGTGTGGACTCTTGCTCCTTATGTTTCCGTATTTCTTCCTTTGATAGTGAAAGCATCATCTCTGTCATCTCCATTGCCTTCTTATGAGGCCCTGGAAGGCGGTCCATGATCGATGGGAACAATTCATACAGCTACAACAGATGAAAGCAAAAAGCCTGCCATTATTATGGAGGAGGCAAGGAAAGACAGTTCATTGGCCAAAGCAGGTTTGACACACACAAATTATTTTGAGATAGCTACATTTCCTGACTGTAAAAAAAGAATGGAGGTGAGGAGGAGGAGGAGACCTGCTCCCTTCTTCCATCATTTTCTTCCACAATATATTCTGAACTTTCCCTTCCTAAGTAATTCTCTGTCCTCCCATTTTCTCAGCTCCTTTTCCATTTCCCAGCTTTCCTTTTTGACTAGTACTTTTCATCTTTGTTCTCAGCTTCCTTCCAATACTGCAAATTGAGGGTAAATTTCTTTGACCCTCAATCAGCAAGAGGAAGGAGTAAGGCTTAATCTCATACAAACTATGGCTGCCTTTCTGCTTTGAGTATTCTTTCTCATAAAAAAACTGTTGTCATCTTGATCACATTTGATGTTGTCTTGCCCACATATTTTCCAGTTTCCATAAGTAAAATGTTGGTCTGTGTGCAATAGACGCATATAGTGTCACTGCCAGGGTTGGTGTCAACCAGTGTGGTAACAGTGCAAACTATTAGAATTTCAGGTGTATTTAATTAGAAACATGTGTTCTCCTTTCCCAAATTTTGAATGTTAATGTATTGTTGCCATGAATGAGTTTTCTAGTGCACACCCTGAAGACGGTCAATAAATCATATAAATACCAGCATGATGGATCTAGTAGAAATCAGGATAATCATAAAATGTTAAAGAATAAAAAAATACAACCAACAATGAGCACTGAGAACTTGTTTTCCATTACTGGCCTGGAAAGGCTGTTTGTTGAATAAATACCAATGCTTTTGGTTATAATGGAGGGTTTATGGAGGCCCATAAACACTTCTGCTTGAAATGCTTTCTGACTTATAGGTAACTGAAACCATGGTTCTTAAGTTCATGGATAAGGAGGTACTGTGTATTCCAGAAGAATGTACGCAGCTGAGTCAAAAAGTTTTGCCTCCTGTGTCATAAAAATATTATGAATGAACATATAACAGCAAAAGTTACTACAGATCCAAGCAAATCAGGGCTGTAGGGTAGGCAAGGCACTACTAACCAGCCCATTTTTGCAATCCCCTAGTTTGTGAAAAAAGACATGTGTGGGCTTTTAGTGTTTTGGCACACAAATGGTGTTATTCTTGTGGATTTTCTGCAACATGGTGCCACAACAGTGAAACCTTAAGAAACTTAAGGTGGCAACAAGAAAGAAGGGACCACTAAAAGACTTTGTTCCATCAAGCTTCATCACAATAATGCATGCCCGCACACATCGGATTCGTTCACTTTGCAAACGGAAATAATATATCTCCAATCCGTACTCATAATTTTGGTCTATTTTGCTCTGAATATGCTTAGCTGGTTTTACTGGATGCTGTAAACACTTTCATTTATGTATTTTCCTGGGAGTTTTAATCATCATTATTTTTAAATAACCATCATTATTTAATCATCATTATTGTCTTGTGTTTTTCATTTATTTTGTATAGTTTCTGAGTCTCTTTAAACATTTGAGAGCAGGAGGATGGGGCAAAGCACATGCTGAAAGTGATATGCAACCTTTCAAGAGCAGACATGAGTACCCACAGCACCTATTCAGAAAAATCCTTGCAGAGAAATGAGTGTTTGGTTTTCTTGGCTAACATTTCTGCCAGATGATTTCGGTCCCCTCCAGTTACTGCCCAGTTTCGAATCTCTCGTTCCTGGGCAAGGCGATTGAGAGGGCAGCAGCGGAGCAGTTGCAGCAATTCCTAGATGACACAGCCGGACTAGATCCCTTCCAGTCCAGCTTCCGTGCGGGGCATGGGACAGAGACTGTGCTGGTCTCCATCACGGATCACCTTTGATGCCAGCTTGACCAGGGCGGGTCAGCGCTGCTTGTGTTATTGGATCTCACAGCAGCATTTGACACAGTCGACCACAATCTTTTGACCCACCGCCTTGCTGTTGCTGGAGTCAGGGGGGACAGCTTTAAACTGGCTGTCCTCCTTTCTTCACAACCGTGGATAGTGAGTGGAGAGGGGAAGCCTGGTCTCTGAGAGGTCCCCTCTATTTTGTGGGGTTCCTCAGGGGGCCATTCTCTCCCCTCTGTTATTTTACATCTATATGCGACCACTTGCTCAGCTGGTTCGAGGTTTTGGGCTTGAGTGCTATCAGTACGCCGATGACACTCAGCTGGTGCTGAAGATGGAAGGCCGACCGGACTCTGTACCCGATTGTTTCCATCAGTGCCTCGAGGCCATTACTGGATGGTTGCGCGCCAGCAGATTGAGGGTGAATCCAGCAAAGACAGAGATCCTATGGCTGGGACAACCGGGCAGTGGGGACATCCAGTTGCCTACCCTGGATGGCGAGGCGCTGCGCCCGTCATCATTGGTAAAGAGTCTGGGAGTCCTTTTGGACCCTCTGCTGACGATGGAGGCCCAGATCTCCGCCGTTAGCAGAACCGCCTTCTTTCATCTGCGGCAGGCTAAACGGCTGCCCCCTACCTGTCCAGGGACGACCTAGCTACGGTGATCCAGGCCACGGTCATCTCAAGACTGGACTACTGTAACGCCCTCTACATTGGCCTTCCTCTGTCGGTGATCCGGAAGCTCAAGTTGGTACAAAATGCAGCTGCTCGGCTTCTTGTGGGAATTCCGATGTGATGCCACATAACCCCAATCTTACTACAGCTGCATTGGTTACCAATTGAGCACAGGATCACCTTCAAAGTGATGGTACTCACCTTTAAGGCCTTGCATGGTATGGGGTGATGTATCTGAGGGACCGCCTCACCCCCTTCCAACCCCAGAGATCCCTCCGTCCTGAGGACCAAGATCTATTGGAAGTCCCCAGTGTCTAAAAGCAACCAGACGCAGAGCCTTCACAGCAGTGGCACCATCACTCTGGAATACTCTGCCACCTGAAGTCCGTGCCTTGCGGGACTTACCAGCTTTCCGCAGGGCATGTAAGACATACCTGTTTCGACAGGCTTTTAATGTTTGATATTGTTGTTTTTAAATTGTTTTAAATTGCTTTTAAATTTTGTTAGATTTTAGCTATACTTGTAAGCCGCTCCGAGCCCCAGGGGAGTGGCGGCATATAAGTTTAAATAATAAATAAATAAATAAAACATTTCTCTCTATAACTAGGATGCTCTAGACCAGGCATGGGCTAACTTCAGCCCTCCAGGTGTTTTGGAATTGTGGGAGCTGAAGTCCAAATTACCTGGATGGCCAAATTTTACTCACGCCTGCTCTAGACTGAGTAATAACCTTCTCTCTTCACAGCAATTGCCCTTGCACAAATACACAGATTTTACACTGACACAGAGAGGCGGTTCAATAATTACGCGAAGTAAGCCGTTGCGGTACACTTTTTTGCCAGGGGTGCCAAGAGCAAGGGTCACGGGAAGCTAGCAGAGGCCAGAGGGACCCTGCTGCTGGTGGTATCGAAGCCTGCCGCTCCTCCTCCTTCCCATCCTCCTCCTTCTCCGCCTCCACCAGCAGCAGCAGGGTCCCTCCTCCTCCTTGCCCCCGCCGAGCAGCGCAGCCTGCTGCTCTTGCTCCGGCTGCTCTTGCCCTGCCTCTGTGGGTGGCCCCTCCCACTATCCCCCCCCCCGTCACTCCAGGCTTGAGAGGGAGCCAGGGGCAGGGACCGCTCAGCTGGCCACCACCCCCGCCAGTCTCCCTGGTAACAGGGCCTTCCGCTCCTCCTCCTCTCCATCCTCCGTCCCTTTCTCTTCCTCCTCCTCAGGCCACGTCTCTCGGGGATGCCAAGGGCAAGGGGGGAGGAAGAGGAGGAGGAGCGGCAGGCCCCGTTATCAGGAAGGGACATCCATCATCATCATCACCATCCCTTTCTATTTATAGTCTGAGTAGTGTATATTATGTATCCAGCATTGCATAAGTGCTGAAACTGCCATTGTCCCCCTGCTTTCCTTTCTTCCCTTTCCTTCTATTTCTTTCCTTCATTTCTGTTCTTTTCCTCTTTCTTTCCCCCCTCCCTTCTCTGAATACTTTCTGTCTTCTCTACCTCATGCCCAGAGGGCCACTTCACCTAGCAACATTCTTTTGTGGTGCTGACAAATGTACTTCGACATATATGGACCAGGCTGTGGTGCAGCTAGCTGGGAGCTTGCTGCATTATATCACTACTGTCCAAGAGGTCATGAGTTTGACCCTTCCGGTCATTAGTCTAGCTTGCTGTCCACTAGGGCTGGGCAGTTTCGTTCGTTAATTTCGTAATTCGTTATTGATTCGTATTTAAATTAGCTTACGATCCGATATTGAGCCATGTAGGAGCAACTAAAAATCGAAACGAATTTTTCAATTTATTTCGTAATTGTTTCGTAATTGTTTATCGTTTCGAAATCGTTTCGAAATTGTTTCGTTATTATTTCCGTATGTCTGGTGCAAGTTTTATAGTTGTTGTTTGTTTATCAGTGATAAAAAAATAAATTATCACACCAACAGTCAACAACAGAGGGAGAGGGAAGCTTCAGAAGTTCCCCCTGTCCCATTTGGAGGTTTTTTTAGCGTATTGTGCAATCGCGTCCGCCATTAACGAATCAATTCGAAATTTACAAAATTTCGTAAATAACGAAAAAATTTTAAAGAAAAATTCGGAATTCTTTTAAAAAACGAAACGCAATGGACCCCCTAAAAACGAAACGAGTTTAGAAACAAATTTTTCCGTTGTTACCCAGCCCTACTATTTAATACTTTTTCATGTCATCCATCAAGTAGGAAATTTAGGTACCGCTTTATGCAGGGAGGCTAATTTAACTAATTTACGATTCCATAAAACGGCGGCAAGAAGGGCCATCCATGGGGGTGGGGCGAGAGCAGCTGGGGGTGACCTCTCCCACCGACCTCCTCGCTCCACTACCGGCAACCCACCCACCCCCCACCCCCCATGATTATATGGCAGTGTAGAAGGAGGTTTAGGGCCCTTCTGTACAACTATATAATCCAGAACATCA